TTCATCCCAAACCCACCCCACTCCTCCCACACACTCCACTACAACACACACCTCCACCCCCCCTCCCACACACACACACACCTCCTCCCACACCTCCACACACACACCTCCCTCCCACACCTCCCCACCCCTCCCCCCCACACACCCCTCCCACCCCTCCCACACACCTCCACACCTCCCTCCCCCACCACACACACCTCCCCCCCTCCCACACACACACCTCCCTCACACCTCCCCACACCCCCACACACACCCCTACCACACCCCTCCCACACACACACCTCCCTCACACCTCCCACACACCCCTCTACATATGAATCAAGAAACATCAACAACAAAACCTTATCTCAATGCCGTACGATATTTTAGGCAGATACACAGGCGTCGTCCAGCTGCTGATGGCCGTACGTACAAGCCAACTGATCAGCACTGGCGGACGTAGATGTATTTATCAAACTTCCTCTTAATTATCACCTCCTCTTGTTATGACCCCTCTTATAACTACCCTGGGGGCACCATCACCACAGGTGTTTAAATCAGAGGACGAATGAACCACAGTTAAGAGATTTGTGCAGGTACAGGTAAGTGGACATATAGAGACCCCTACCTGAAGTACTCTTGCTTGTGTTATAGTGATAATAATTAATGTATTGATGATAATAAGTAAAGGAAGAATGAAAACAGAGGATTAGTGGTTGATAATTTGTGGTTCCTGTGTGTGTGTGTGTGTGTATGTGTGTGAATATATGTATAAAAACACATATAAACAAATTATACATACTATCACCATTTATGCAGTTAGAAGACCGAGAGATAAGAGAGATAAGATATGCTAATAAGAGACGTTGGATGCTGCTAAGAGATCAAGAGAAAGAGAGATAAGGAGACGTCAGTAAGAGGTGCTTGATTCTGCAACGATGCAATGTTTCTTATCATTATGTAACAACAACAACAACAACAACCACCACCATACCACTACCACCACCACTAACAACAACAATAACATCACTACCACCACGACCATCACCACCACCATCACCACTACCACAACCACCACCTCCACCACTACCACCACCACTAACAACAACAACATCATCACTACCACCACTACCACCACCACCACCATCACCACTACCACAATCACCACCTCTCTATACGGTGACAATTTACCACCAGTCGGTCAATACCTCTCCAATTAACCGTAGGGTCTTTATTACCTCTAGTTATTCGGTTAATTACAGTTATCAAGGTTCTGAGTAATTAGATGAAGGGGGTAATTAGGCCAGGTGTAATGATGTTGATCGTGGTTGTTAGACGCGAGTGGAGGTGAGTGTTGTGGTTACCTGTCATGGTGTCTAGCTACCTGTCTGTGTGTCTGTCTGTCTATCTATGTACCTGTCTATCTGTTTGTCTATTTTTCTGTCTGTCTGTTTGTGTATGTGTGTCCTTTCTCTCTCTCTGTCTCTCTCTCTCTCTCTCTCTCTCTCTCTCTCTTCCTTCCTTCCTTCTTTCCTTCCTTCCTTTCTTTCCTGTTTTTATATCTTTCCGTCCTTCTCCTTCTCTTGTCCATCTCCCTTCCCACCTACCCCCCCCATGCTGTCTCCTAATCTATCCTCCCCACCCCCACTCTCTCCCTCCCCTTCCTATCTCCCTCCCCCTCCCTCTCTCCCTCCCCTCCCACTCTCTCCCTCCCCCTCCCACATGTGACGGTATTAGTGACAATGGTGACGGTGTGTGACGAAGGGCGAGATAGAGGTGTGGCTGAGCCTCTCCTTGTGACGAGATGTGGCTCACCGCTCACACCTGAACTGTGACGCACCGTGACGTCATAGTGTGGTTGTTGTGATGTAATTAGGTGTGTGTGTGTGTGTGTGTGTGTGTGTGTGTGTGTGTGTGTGTGTGTGTGTGTGTGTGTGTGTGTGTGTGTGCGTGTGTGTGTGTGTAGATGGCTAGGGAAAAAGATGTTGTAAGGCCTCTCTCTCTCTCTCTCTCTCTCTCTCTCTCTCTCTCTCTCTCTCTCTCTCTCTCTCTCTCTCTCTCTCTCTCAAATCCTTTATCAAAACAAAAACTCGAGATTAAATTCCATAAATTCCATCTTTTTAAAGGATTCAATTCTCTTAACTAAAAAAAGCATAAAAAATAGAAATGAAAATGTAACACTTATTTTATACATTAAAATAATAATAATAATAATAATAGGATTGTGTTAAAGAGTTTTAGATCGTTTTTCTTGATATGAGAATAGAAAAGAAAATACCGAATATGTTTATTAAGGAAAAAGAAAATATTGGATTATGAACGTGATTTGTTCTTTAAGATATAAATTCAGATATAATTTAACAAAAGCAAAACATCGATCTATAAGAGTAAGGGTGAATGACAATAAAAATGACCAAAAAATTACAGACAAATTTACACTATAAAAAAAATTAGACAATCTGGAAGCGTTGTGGTGAAGACGGATAATACGAACGGCATCTTGGTTGAGAAAAAGTCGAATGTGTCCAAGACTTAGCTGGCGTGTGACCCTGGTACTGAAGGTTCTTGCGGGGAAACGTGAGAGATGGTCTGGACCCAACCACCCGGAGATGCAATTGCTCGAGATGGCTAAGCAATTGTAGCCGCGCGATTATTCTCACCGTTTTCGTTAAGTTATCTCCACAGTTCGTTGTTTTCGCTCTAATTACTAACACCCGAACGTTTTTTTTTAACCTTCTAGACAAACCATTCACTATTCCTTATAAAGAATTTCGTTATATATATTTTTTAAAAACTTTTCATTCGTTATAAACAACTCCATCATACTGAAGGATGATTTACGTTAGATACGGATGATAGTTGTATTTAAGTAAGAGATCATTGGGGGTAGGTTAGGTTAGGTTAGGTTAGGTGAGGTTAGGTTAGGTTAGGTTAGGTTAGGTTTAAGATGGTGGTGAATGGCGGAGGGTGAAGTCCGTAAAGTTTTATAGAGAGTAAAGTTTGTACACACACACACGCACACACGCACACGCACACACACACCTGTACATTAATACCTTCACATTAGATGATTAAATGGGCGTTGGTGTGGAGTGGGTGTGGATTTGATCCTGGATGTGGGTATGGGTGAGGATGTAGGCGTGGTAGTGGGCGTAGATAGTGGGAATAATGTGGGTTTGGATTAGGGTATTGACGAGGGCGTGGATGTAGGCGTGGATACGTGCATGGGCGTGTTACTGTGAACTTGCGATGTGGATAAATGCTTGGGGGTGGATGTAGATTTATGCGTGGGGGTCGACGTGAGCGTGGGTGTGGTTGTGGGCGTGGTAGTGGGTGTGGTTGTGGGCGTGGTTGTGGGCGTGGTTGTAGGCTTGGTAGTGGGCGTGGATATATATGTGTGTGTGTGTGTGTGGGTATGGGAGTGGGCGTAAAGATGGGAATAACTAGGGGCGCAATAATGGGCGTGGATGTGGGTGTGGATGCGTGTGGGTATGGGCGTGGAGATGGGCGTGGTCGTAGGCGTGGTAATAGGCGTGGTAGTGGGCGTGGGCGGGGAATTAGGCTCACAGAATTAACTCCAATCTATTTGTAATTCTGTCCAGTCCAGGAACTATTCTTGGGGTCATTACCGTGCCACCCTACACTATGCCATAAGGCCGATAACCCACGTCGTCCCAGTCAGGGTTTGGTTCTTCAGGGTAGTCGACGATGGGGTCATCCTCGCTCCCAAGGCCAACACACTGCCTTGGGTGATGTGTATAATGTTTGACTTCGTTATAGGTCAAGGTAATGAGAGAGAGAGAGAGAGAGAGAGAGAGAGAGAGAGAGAGAGATACCAACAGCGGGAAGAACACAATGACGCAGCAATAAAGGCATCATTCGCTCAGGGGTAAACTAGGGAATTCCCAGGCTACTACCAACCCCCCCTTCCCTAATTACCCCCTAATAACCCCTAACTCCCTAAATTACCTCCCAATTACCCTCCTTAACCCTTAAATTAGCCCTTAAACCATAATTATCCCCTAATCACCCTCTTAACCCTCAAATTAGCCTCCTAAACCCCTAATTACCCACTAAATTACCCCTTATTACCCCCTGAACCCCAAATTGCTCTCTAATCCACAAATTTTACCCTAACTCTCTAATTACCCCTAACGATATTAATACCCCCTCATCCCTAATTATACTCTAACCCCTTAATTACTGTAACTCACCTATACGGCCAGGTAGAGACATCTAGAATATTGAACCCAACTAAGTAATATATTGTAGCTGTAATGAATAGCCACGTAGAAGGGTCCCGTGGCGAGATAATGCGAGATACGGCGAGATAATGCGAGATACGGCGAGATAATGCGAGATACGGCGAGATAATGCGAGATACGGCGAGATAATGCGAGATACGGCGAGATAATGCGAGATACGGCGAGATAATGCGAGATACGGCGAGATAATGCGAGATACGGCAAGATAATGCGAGATACGACGAGATAATGCGAGATACGGCGAGATAATGCGAGATACGGCGAGATAATGCGAGATACGGCGAGATAGGGAGAGACACACACACGCCAAAAGAGTTCCATTGTTCCACCGCCTCGAGTTTCGTCTTTGGTTCCACAGTGATACAAGGTGGATGGGCTCTACAGGTTGAGAGACGAACACGTGTACTCGTGGTTGTGAGAGAATGTTATCCCAAGTAGTGGAGGTTGAAGTTGATGGCTGGATGGGCCCTCAGTCGTATTAGACCCCAATGTTACTTAATCCTTAATAATGTAGCTGTGATTTTAATGGGCTCCCCAAGTCGCATTTAATTCTATTTACAGGCACTTATATAAATTCCTACACACAAACACTTACATACATATAAAAACTTACATATATACTCCCACATGTACACACAAACACATACATGCTGTACATACACTATAACACTCTCAACCTCCTGATAGATAGTGTTTATATACAGTAATCAGTTTTAATTCCAGGATGAAAGTCAATAATCACCTTTGTGTTCTTACCTTACAAGCTGGTGAATGGGAGAGTCTTCAGCCTCCTGGAAAAAAAAGAAAAAAATATGAATGAAAGGTTTTGTATTATTTATTTTGATTTTTTTTAAGGTGACAGACAGACAGACAGACAGACAGACAGACAGACAGACAGACAGACTAAGGTATCGTGTCCATTTTGGGCCCTTGACCTAACACCTGGGATCATTTGGAAATTATATTATTAAGTTAGGTTAGGTTAGGATAAAGTTAGGGGTGATTAATCTTCAGGTGTGGTATAAACAGGTGTGACTAATCTTCAGGTGATCTTAAAATTGAATGGGTCCAATAATTTTTAGTCTACTGTGATAATATAATTAAATATTACTGAAAGATTATTAAGTAAGACTGAACCAACATTTAAGACTGAACCAAAATGAATAAAACTGAACTAAAAACAAAAACAACAACAACTATTAACAGTCATGAACAATAAATTAAATGGAAGAAAATCGTAAGACATATGAACAATGCTTGAAGATCTTACCTGCCCAACCACCTGAACACCTTTCAACAACAAGAACGTAATTACCTGTATGAATTATTACACCCGTTAACCACAGCTCCAGTGATGAACAAATGTTATGAGCAAGAACATAATCAAGAACAATGTAATGGTGATGATAATTATATTGATTAATTAAAAGATCAATTAGCGAATAAACAGACCGTGGTGAATGTGTGTGAGAGAGAGAGAGAGAGAGAGAGAGAGAGAGAGAGAGAGAGAGAGAGAGAGAGAGAGAGAGAGAGAGAGAGAGAGAGAGAGGCCCCTAACCCTCAATAAACAACTAAATTACAAAAGCCTGAAAAGGGAGAGAAATAAAGCACATGAACATAGCGAAAAAGACGAAAGAAGAAAGAAGGAAGGAAGAAGACGAAAGAAGGAGGAAGAAAAAGAAGGGAGAATAAAAGACACGGAGGAGGAAGAAGGACGAAGGAAGGAAGGAAGAAGAAGAAGAAGAAAGAAGAATAAAGAGAGGAATGTACAGAGGAAGTCGAGAATGAGTTCAGGGAGAAGATGCAGGAGGCGTTGTGTTGACAAGTGGGTGTGGCCCTCTGGCTAGTGTGAGGAGGAGGAGGGAGAGGTGAGGGAGAGAGGTGAGGGAGGTGATGGAGATGGAAGGAGGAGGAGGAGGAGGAGGCGAGAGAGGTGAGGTAGATGGTGGGTAGGCGAGGAGGGAAGGAGGTGTATGGGGAGGAAGAAGAGAGGGAAGGAGGAGGAAGTGAGGGAGACGGAAGGAGAAGGAGGAGGTGGGGGAGATGGGGGAAGTATGGGGAGGAGGATAGGTGTAGATGGAGTAAGGAGGGAAGGAGGGGGTGGAAGTTGATAAAGGGAAGAAGGAAGGGAAAGACAGAAGAGGGAGGTGGGAAGATACAGAATAAGAAGAAAGGAACAAGAGGGGTAGAGGGATAGGAGAGTAAAGGAAGAAGGATGAAGGACAGGAGGGAAAGGAGGCAGGAGAGAGGAAGATGAGAAGAATGAGAGAACAAGAATTATTAAGGACGAGGTAAAGTAGGGAATATGGAAGAGAGAGAGAGAGAGAGAGAGAGAGAGAGAGAGAGAGAGAGAGAGAGAGAGGAGAATAGGAAAGAGGAGGAAGAAGAGGAGGAAGAGGAGGAGGAGGAAAAAGAGGAAGAAGACCAGAAAGAAGACGATTGTGGTTTACCTCCGAGGAAAAAATACAATTACTCAGATGATTTTAAACTAATTCCTAATGAGCAGAGACGTCCACAAACTGTGCTGGTCGTTAACAAAAAAAGACGTAAACACAGGCATCAAAATAAACAAACTGTGTCGGTCATTAGTGGAAAAAAAAACTAAAACACATAAAAGTTAACAATCTGTGCTGGTAGTTGAAAATTCTGTAAATAAATACATTTGGGGTCAACAACCTCAGCTAATTATCTTATGCAAACAGACTAATGGATGAATAAAAATAAATAAATACAAATTAATAAACAGATGAATAACAAAACTTGATGACGAAAAATTATAAAATAGATAAATTAATATTAAAAATAAAGAAAGAGGAAATGGAACACAAAACTTGATAAATAAAAGAAAAAAAAACATAAAATACGAATATGAAAATAGAACAAGTCAAAAAAAATACGAAGATGTAATAATAACAAGGTCGGAGACATTAGTTGTTTTGTGGTTAAGTCGTAAAGAGAGAGAGAGAGAGAGAGAGAGAGAGAGAGAGAGAGAGAGAGAGAGAGAGAGAGAGAGAGAGAGAGATAATTAGCACGTCGACAGGTAATGATGGACACGTGACAGGTGATGATGATGATGTAATAGACAGACAGACAGAGAGACAGGCAGACAGACAGAGAGACAGGTAGATAGACATATGGATAGATAGAATATTGCAGAATTACAAGATTGCAAATAATAAGAAAAATAAGAGAGAAAAGGAATGTAATGAGAAAGATGATGATGATGATGATGATGATGATGATGATGATGATGGTGAGACGATGATGATGATGATGATGATGATGATGGTGAGACGATGATGATGATAATAATATAAAACACAAACTGCAATAATAAAGAAGAAGAAGAAGAAGAAGATGAAGAAGAAGAAGAAGAAGAAGTAGAAGAAGAAGTAGAACAAGAAAATAAGCAAAATACAAACGAAAGACATAGATAAAAAGAATAAAAGAATAGAGATGAGAAATAGAACAAAAACACACAAATACTGATGAATTAGAGCCAAAACGAGACAAGGAAAATGATATGATAAAAGTGATATTTAGAAGAGGAAGTTAAAAAAAAACGAATGGAGGAAGAGAGTAATGGATAATAAATGTGTGTTATTTGGTGATAATTCTGAGTGTGGAAAGGAAGTGAGTAGGAATCAAATACATACATACATACATACATACATACATACATACATACACATTACATACATACATATATACATACATACATACATACATACACACATTACACATTACATACATACATACATACATACATACATACATACATACATACATACATACACATTACATACATACATATATACATACATACATACATACATACACACATTACACATTACATACATACATACATACATACATACATACATACATACATACATACATACACGGTTATTTTCCCTTCATTCACTATTATGCTTTCATTTAATCTCACTACTGTAATAGATTTGTCTTACTCTGGTACTTCACATCATCTTTATTCATTCACTGTCATTCATTCATACATTCCTTCCTTCCTTCCTACCTTCCTTCCTTCCTTCCTTCCTTCCTTTCCTCCTCCCTTCCTTCTCACTGCTGCATGAGTCTCAAACAAGGAGGCCATACCATAAACAAACAAACTCCGGACTCGATTATAATACGACACGAAGCACCAAACCAGATCCCCTAATGATTCGAAGCGCCTCATTTGACGTGACTGAATGGATCCGTCATCTCCTCCTGACTGACAGACAGACAAGCACAGGATGTTTAGATGTTATTATACCACCTTCTCCTTCCTGTGGTGACATAAAGAGAGAGAGAGAGAGAGAGAGAGAGAGAGAGAGAGAGAGAGAGAGAGAGATCGTTCCTCCACGTCAATTTATGCTCATAACAAATAAATGAGATGCTTCCATATGTGGTGACGCTGGGAGATAGATAACTAGCAACGTTGCCAGATCCAATTCTATATATATATTAAAAGACCCAGATAAACAAACCCTAAGTTGCCACATGTACTAAAAACCACACAAAAGAAATGAAAGCAACGGTGTCATCTCTAACGAAGACAAAATATGACTTAGGCGTATATAAGGATCTTGAAATCAGTGCAGGGATGAAGGGAGATGAATAAAACGTTGCCATGGGGACTGGATGCTGACGACATTTCCCTACAGGCTACGGATGCTGACAAGGACAAACAGATTACACTTGTAGATGAAAAACTGATGCAACTGCAAATTAAACCTGACGATTTTTCACACCTGTTGAACCGGAATCAGCTTGAGTGAGGTAGGTGTAATGGTGTAGTGATGATGGTGATGATGATGATGGTGATGATATTGACGACGACGATGATAATGATGGTGATAGTGAGTAGTGGTGATGGTGGTGATGGTGGTGATGATTGTGTCAAAATACATATAGGAAAAAAAATGATAGAAAAATAATGAAAGAAAATGACAGAGAATGAAGAGGTGGTTGAAAGAATGCAACAACTCACCACCTATCATAAGGGTCATTGGTTCACGGCCGGGATTATCCTCACTCGACCCAGCTGCGAATGAGTACCTTAACTTTACTCTTAGGGAAATGAAGTCAAACGAGTGCAGTGTCGGCCATATGCGTTCTAAGAATTCAGTGTACTATATCCACACCGCCTCGAATAGACTGTTAGGCATATGGTAGTGACTCTTAGAAGGGAAGGAGCATAATGTAGAAGGTAGATAGAAGAAGGGATAATAAATAGAAGGAAAATATAGAAGAAGAGGGGATGGATAAGCCTCTAAAGAAAAAGGAAGAGGTGTAGAGAAGGAGGAAGAGGAATGTGTGGAGGAAGAGGAATGAGTAGAGGAGGAGGAACGTATATATATAAAGAAAAAGAGAATGGGAAGAAAAGAATGAAGAAGAGAAGGAAGAAAGGAAGAGAAGAAAGGGAGAGAAAGAAATTGAGGGAAAGGAGGAAGAAGAATAGAAGAAGGAGAAGGAGAAATAGAAGGAGGAATAGGAGGAAGAAAATAAGGGGAAAGAGGAATAGAAGAAGGAAGAAGAGAAGAAGGAAAAGGAGTAAGAGAAGAAGGAGAAGGAGGAATAGAAGAAGGAAGAATAGAATAAGGAAGGAGAGAAGGAGGATGTAGTATGGGGGTGTGGGGGTGTAGGTGGCGTGGTCCGGGTCGTCTCTAGCCGCGGGCGTGGGCGTGGTCAAGGCCTGCCCACGCGCGCCTCCATGACCGCGCCTTCCTTCCCCCCCCCTCCTCTCCTTCACTACCCCCCCCTCTCCCTCACTTCCACCCACCCT